ACTTATGTATATGCCCCCTTTGTTTCTTTCTCCCACTCCTGTTTTGACCCAGATCTGCAAAAGGTATTTAAGCAATGCGAGTTAGACACTTAAATACCCTTGAGGATCTATACCTGAGGCCGTGCTGTCCTCATGCATGAAATACTGTCACTCTGTGTACTGGTTTCAGAGTAGCAGTCTTGTTAGTCTGTATCAGCAAAAAGAACGAGGAGTACTTGTGGCACCTTAGAGACTAACAAATTTATTTGGGCATAAGCTTTCGTGGGCTAACACCCACTTCATCAGATGCATGCAGTGGAAAATACAGTAGGAAGGTATATATACACACACAGAGAACATGAAAAAAATGGGTGTTGCCATACCAACTCTAACAAGACTAATCAATTAAGCAGGGCAGGCTGGGGCTGGGTCGCTCGCTGCTGCTGCTGCTGCTGCCAGAGACTGAGCCCGAGCCCGGGGGGCTGCGAGCAAGAAAAAGAAATAAACACCTGGGCTGGTGAGTACAGGGCGCAGGTCCAACTCCTGCTGCTGGCACCAGGCCCCCGCTAGTCCCCCAGGCCGCCCTGCCCCCCCGAAGCACAGAGCCCCCCAAAACTATGGAGGGGACGGCTCTGCCCATGAGTGATGTAAGTTACACCAACCTAAGTGCCAGTGTGGACAGCGCTATGTCGGCAGCAGAGCTTCTCCTACTAACATACCTACCGCCGCTCGCGGGGCTGGAGTAGCTAAGCCGCGGGAGAGTTCACTCCCATTCGCTTAGATCGGTTACATTTAGAGTTTACAGCAGTGCAACTGCATTGCTGCAGCTCTGCTGCTTTAAACTCTCTAGTGTAGCTGTAGCCTGTATCTTTACTTTGTTTGAGTTCCTTCTAAAGAAGCACTGTTTTTCATTAGGACCAGATGTTAAGAAAAAGAAAAAAAAAATAAGTAGAGAGACAGTTTAACAATTGAGGTTCCTGCCTGTGATTTGCTCTCTGAATCTTGTCTTACTTATCTGTAAGTTCTTCAAGGCAGGGAATGTCTTCCTGTTTGTTTTCTCTACAGTGCTGAGCACAAAGATAGTGGTTAATCACATATTTTATACAATTTTTCTATTCTTGTTTCGTAAACCCCTGTTTGTGTAAGTTTTTATATATTAGAACTAAGAATAATCATTTTTACCTCTGCCAAAGCCTTGAAAAAGGACTTGAGGAGAAAGGGAAGCAGCCCAATACATCCACCCTGTGACCCATTGTTTTAACAACAAAGAGGGATCAGGAAGACAGTCATTCTGGTGGCAGTCTAAACGATTTAATTTTTCCTCTAGAAGAGAAGGACCAAATCCCTGGTTGTTCACTTATATCCACACACAAACTCTGAATTTGGGAAAAGGAGTGAATTTAGCCCCACTGGACTCAGTTAATTTGACTATTTATATGGTCATCTTATTTGGAAGGGACCTGTTACACACACGTTTATGGGTCTGCAGAAGACAGTTACAAAGACATAAAATTAACAGCATATACAATACTATAAAATGCTTTGCTATGCACAAGAGGCTTGAGTCATGGCCAGGACTTTGAATTTGCTGACATTTGGGTGTTTAAAATTAAAGTCACAATCTCCTATCATCACTGTAAATTACATACAAAAACCTGTGATCACGTTACATTCAGAAACATTTTGAGAAGGTTATGGCTTGTAAAATACCATTTTGCAAAGATACTTCACCACTGTGTTCAAAAACAAATTAAGAATATACTTTCCCAACAGAAAAGTGATCACAGATGAGAACCAGCCTCAGTCCCAAAATGACAGACAGCTATGCTACTAAAACGTCCTGAATATAAACAATATACAGATGTTCTATACCTTTGCTATGCTCTGTGTGACAGAATATTATGCATGACTCACACATGTAAATATAAACTTAGTATACACCATATGCAAAATCCTGGCTCTTTTGAATTAAATGGCAAAACTCCTCTGACTTCAACAGGGCCGCAAATTCACCCAAAGTCAGCAGAGGAAGACAACATGATTGGGAGAGATTTATTTATTTTTTTGATTTAAAGAAGGCCTAGCTCTGTAACAGATGGACCCCTGAACGCCCTCCACCTCTTCCCTTTTTAAAACAAAACAATTGCATAAAAACACCCAATGTGAATAGCAGGACTGAACCACTGCTGATTTGTCATCACTGTATCAGGTATAAAACACAATTTAAAAAAAACAGACGAGATAAACCAAATAGAAATGCTATCTTTGTCACAGGGTTGTGAATTTCAAAGGCAGGAGCCCAAGAAAGGACAGCAAGTGCCTCCTAGTTGCACTTAATTGTCACAGGATGATGGAGGTTTTGGAAACAACTATGTCCCAGCCTGGTTAATGCTGAATGTGAATTAATGGAAGTTAAACCTATAGCAGAGATGTACATTGGGATAAAGTTAGTATGTTACAGATAGATTTAAAAATATTGAGGGAGATGATCATCTCTAAAAGGCAAAGTGTCCTAGAACTAAGGAATAGGCAAAGCCAAGGCAACAAGGCACACTCCCTACACATAAAAGTGCTAAGGAAGTAACTGTGGAACACCAGTGATGCCAACAGTAACAGCATCAGTTAGGGGCCACTCGCATACACAGAATATTATCATCTATCACTTATATTGCAGTAATGCCTACCTGCCTTAACCAAGTCAGGGCCCCATTGTGTCAGGCACTGTACAAATAGGCAGCAAAAACCTGTCCCTTCCTCAAAGAACTTATTCTTTAGACTGTCAATGGGATGCCAGAACTGAGCAGCGGCATCACGAGTGTGTTCTGCAGCAAGTCTTTCTGCTAACAGCAGCACTTGCCCCTGCTATCTGTTGTGCAGTGGCCTGTCCTCTAAATCAATGGTTTTCAACCTGTGGTCTGTGGACCCCACTATGTCTAAGATTTCCAAAGAGGTCCCCACCTCCATTTAACATTTTTTATGAGTCTCCAAATGAAAAAAGGTTGAAAACCACCGCTCTAAATTGTCCAGTAATTGAAATCCAATTTAGCCTGTTACATAAAATTATTTCTCTGTCAGCAAAAGTTAGAAAAATAAGACTGGATTAGTCAAAAAAGAAGCTATCTATTGATACCACCCAAGAACTGCATAAGGATCATAACTGGCAAACAAAAAGAGAATGGAATCAGAAATTAATGTGTCACGACATTAGGCCTAATTGGATGACAAAGTAACAAGGGCATGGGCTAATTCCACCCATCACGCCCTTTTGGGTGGACTTTGAGAATTAAAATGGCAGTGGACTCCTGGGAAAAGGCAGGCAGGCCTCTGTCCCACTCCGGAGACTGTGTCCTTCATTGGGGACCCTCAGTCAACAACACCCCCAGACCTGCACACAAGTGGTGACACCCTGTTATCACTAATGGACCAGGAAGGACCCCAGTCTGATGCATGCAAGATCCTGCTGTCTTCCCTTCCCTCATGTTCCTTTCCACCCCCCTCTATCTTACTCCTGTCCCCCCCACCTTGGTTTTTCACCTGATCCTGAGACCAACTACATTGCACAGCACCAGTATAATGGGATGAGACAGCTCATCCAGCTCTGCCCAGCCTGAGAAGGACCAGTAAAGGAGAGGTACTTGACTAGACCACCCAGATGGGATCCCAGACCAGAGAAATGAGCCAGGGTTTAGAGAAACAGCTGTAGGGGCTGATCTGACAGCCCAAAGTATCCATCTGTGACTGAGATCAACAAAAGCCATACTGTATTTCCCCTGTTTTGCTATTCTATCTTCTCCCCTTTTGACTGTCTTGTCAAAAACAGGAAAAGTATGACCACTCAGAGCAGTCCACTTGAAATTCAACAAGACTAACCACTTCTTCCCCACTAAAAAGGATTGCTTGACAGAATAAGAAACTAATAATTATTCTCTGTCTGAAAAAGGGCCTTTAATAGGTTTTAAGTGTTTTGCGTAACCACTCAATTTCAATATGCTTTGTTTTGTTTTTTATTCTTTTTTCCCCTCTTGTGTATCCAATAATTTTCCAAACATATGTATTAATTTTTGAATGTGCTTGCCATGAAACGGTCAATTTTCCTGTACTCCAAACCCCAAATCATGTTTAACTGTTTAATGGTGTACAGTGCTAAGATCATACTATCATCTTTGACTCTAGACCCATTTATTCCACTGAAATTAATACAACATATCCCAGGCCTGTTCCTGCTCGTTCACATTAGCTCCCATCTTAGAAGCAGTCTTAATAATGTCACAATGACTCTAATGAAATAAAACTTAATTATACATAAAGGCAAAGAGTTTGATCTTGACTGCAAAACAGTCTGATTTCTCCATACACCATCTTCACCCCACTAAGTCCCTTCAATGAAGTATTCATATAGAAAAAGGGTAATGAGGTAGTACACATGATATGTAACAGCATTAGAGAGACTACTGTAATGGAACTATGAGAATGAATGTAGCCAAAAGCTACCAGATAGATGCACTGTGCATGGATGGGATGTAGAAAGGGGAGAAAGAGCCAAGAATCACAGTTTGGATGTTCTGAAATGAGAAAAAAAAATGGAGCTATAAGAGATTAAGAAATCAGCCATGGTGTTTAATATGGAGATATACCTATCCCCTAGAACTGGAAGGGACCTTGAAAGGTCATTGAGTCCAGTCTCTTGCCTTCACAACAGGAGCAAGTACTGTCCCTGACAGATTTTTGCCCCAGATCCCTAAATGGCTCCCTCAAGGATTGGGCTGGGTTTAGCAGGCCAATGCTCAAACCACTGAGCTATCCCTCCCCCCTAAAATACTCCTGTTTGCAGTGTAATATTTCCAAAGGCCTACACTATTGCACATTTCCTAGCAACAGGGGCTTAGGAGGTGGAGGAGGAAACTTCTGACCTTAAACAAGTCATCACTAATATGGCATTCAACATCTGACCACAAATCTATTTCAGACATAGGTTTCACCCTGCCAAGGCTCAAATGTACAAACAAGACCCAGAATGAGGGACACAACAATACATGAGGGAGCTGGATATGTGGATTTAATTTCTTTATCATGTAAAAAGTACTCCTTAATCTCAGTTCAAGACACAATCTTCTGATGACTTATTACAGTGCTCCTAATGAAGGGGGTGAATTTCCATAATTTTAAGGACCAGGGACTTGGTGGAAAGACATGCCATATTTTGTATTTGACTTTCTATATTTAAACAGAACATACAAGATTAACAATGATTAGAATTGCATATAAAATGTCCCTCATTCATTCTATATGGCTATTAATTGTTTAGGGAGATCCAAGTGCTCAGCAGAGTTTTATTATGATAGCACAAGTACTTTTGGAGATTTCTTTCTCCCCCAAAATTTGAGCTGTATGTTACAGCAGCTATGAGAATCTTCTTGATGAGTGCTAGAATTGTGACATCAGAGGTAACAGCCAATCATACATTTGACTAGTTTATATATATAATGTTCTACTAGTTAAAAGACTGCAATCATTGCCTTTTTAACTTCTCTCGCTTTATGCTATTTGTAGCTATTGTACCTTCTGACATCAGAGTCATAGGAGATGGCTTATTAGATGCAATGGAATTTTGTTACAGAACATAAAATATGTAAAATACAGACATATCTATATACATACTTACATACATAAATAAAGAGCTGTATAGATACAAGCAAAGATTTACAGGCATCACTGAGCAGTGGGGTTGACATTAATTACAGTATGTTCAAGAGGAAAAGCAGGAAGAAGTTTATTCAGGTATGTCTAAAATCACCTTAGAAGTAAAAATAAATGTCATATGTGATAACACAGCAACTTGCTATGTGAGAAATTCTCCCCTTCCATGTAATTTTAATTCCTGAGTTACAGCTTCAACACATCTGACAATCTCAGTATTTGGGGATTTATTTATTTTTAAATCTCAACATTAGCTAAAAATCATTAATTGTGCATTGACAATCACAGCTCAGCAAGGCTTGTATTGTAAATGTTGCCAGAAGAGACTGCACTTGTATCAAGGAATTTAATTGTCATCATGCCAATGTAAACTATAGAACAATGATAATGCCCAACACCTCTGACCTTTCTGGATTCTATTTTCAAGATTAATCCTGGAACACAGAGGAATGACATCCTGAGGTCCAAATTTTTTTCTAGGTTTTCTACAGAACCTGTAATCAAATCCTGACCACAAATTTTTAACACACTTAATTCATTACAAAGGAGTTAAAACTGTATAATAAATTACAAGTGTAGAGATAGATTACTTACGATGTACAGTCTGGAAAACAAAATATTGAACACCAAACCAGTGGTTCGTTTAAAAATGAATATTTAGAGTTAACACCAGATTTCTTAAGAAGGTTCTTTAAGAGAGTTATAAGCCAAAACAGCCATTTGTTGAAAAAATATCCATGTTTCTCAAGTCTGAGTAGTTATGCTTTTAAAAGTTTAAAGCAATGAATATGTTAATTCTTTATATTACAATAAATTTGCTATAGCCACATGCAGCATAATACTCTTGCAGTAAACTAGTGAGTTTACTATTAGAATAGCTGATTAGGTGCCTCACTTTACACAGACTTGTCTCATATTGGTACAAATATTTCTTTGACGTATTTTGTCCCGTTTCAGAGTTATTAACTCCCATACACAATAGAGAAGGAAGCCGTCCAAAGGAGAGAAAGCCCTGAGTCCTCAGTTCAAAATTTCCTGCCAAAAGCATAGCACTGAATTTCAGTAAAATATTTCTGATTTGATATTAATTTGATTTTGTCACTACTTCCATGTGGTGAGCACGGGCTTTCCTGAATCTCTTGCTCGATTTCCTTTTAGTCCAATGGATTGCCCAGAACGGCTTCTCAAATCACGATCAGCTCCATCACTTTGTGCCATCTCTTCATCATACCTAAAATATAATAATTTTTTCAGTGTCTCAGTCTCATAATCACTGGACAGCAGAGATCATAAGAATGACCTTTCCTTAGTTCTTTTTTGTTTAATATTTAACATTCACATTTTTTAAAGTATGGATCCTATTCTATAAACACGCATCTTAAAATGAACTATTCATGTGGGGTGAAACGCCTCACATAAGTTATTCATGTGGGTAAGCGTTCACAGGATTGAACCCTATGACACTATAGTAAAATGAGCCCTATTATACTTCACTATTTATGAAAAACAGGCACATCATCATCAGAGTTTCTATTATAGCAGACACAAATAATTGTAGAGCTTGTGAAACTATTTGAGGCATGTACTTCTGCATTTCTTTTCTCATCACTTCGTCTAATAGACTTGTGCATAAATAGAAACATTAGCTTGCTGCTTATGCAGTACTGTCACAATCCAGCGTATCAAACACAGAAATAACTGGAACATCAGAAAAGCTGGATTGTGACACGAGTTAATAGAATTAAGCAAGAAGGGTGGGCTGATTAGATATTCAAGATATAAGATTCAATCTGAACACAATCTATCAACATCAGAAGTACCTATTAATTTAATATATTTTTGATAATATGTATTTTGTAAAGCTTGCCACAGTGACAAGTATCTCTTTAAATGTACAAACTCAATATGGCCTGAAATAATCCCACTATCCATTGATTTAACAGTTGCTGGAGGCATCCAAAGGCAGAATTTGACTCTAAATATATAAATGTCAATAATCAAAATAGAAAGATACAGCTACAATATTTTTCAGTCAAACAGGATTCCATCTGTACCTATTAACTAATACTAAATGCAGATCCTCAGTGTTCATAGCTATCACGTAGCTAACATTAATTATAAAGGTATGCTCCAATCTTGCGAACACTTATGCATGTGACTAAATTTACTCACATGCATAAGTGTTTGCAGAATCGGGGCCTTAGATAAAATAGATGGTATGAATTAGTGGGTCAGCTAACACACTGTACTACAGTACTATTAATTCCTGACCAGGCTCTCAAACATTTAGCTTTTGAAACTGGTCCAAATGGAACAGGGAATTTGATTACAAATTCAGCATCCCCCTAAATGCATAAGCCAATCTCATACATTAAAATAGGGATACTCTTTTTCCAACGTCCCCCTTCATCGCACATTCATTATACCAGATTAAAAATAATCTTGCAATTCATGGTTTTAACATCCCATCAATGAATCACAACAGTTGGGTGACATAATTCCCATGATTTAAGAGAATTTTTAAAATTTTCTTGGTACATATAATGCATTTAACTGTTACCCACGCCTTATACTCAGTCTAAAATACATACTATATATCTGTTGGATATATCTTTAAGAGTGAAATTCATTTCACCAACATATACCCTGAATAAATCAACGTTTTTGCAGGTGAAGTGCAGGGGCTCACCAGGAAGGGGACATCAACCCACAACTAAGGCTCCAGGCAGGAGTGCAAACCCTTGGAAGCTGCTATTCCAGCCCTAAACACGGTAATTAAGTGATACAGAGCACTTTATGTTTTTCCTCCACACCTGGATGAATTTCATCACATCTACAGGGTTCTAAATTAATCTTCTCTCTCTCAAGAAGAACATGTTCATATTTACATAGGACATTGCTAAAACTTACAAAATCTCATAATTTCCAAGAGCTTCTTTTGGTGGAGATTTATTCCATTTACAGTCTGGAATTTCACCATTAGGCACAGCAATGTTAAGTGTGTCATTAATAAGATTATATTTGAGGATACGATCATTGGCTGTACTGGAGGTAAGAGAAGGGGAAGCATTGACCTATTAAAAACAAAGACATTTTATTTTCAGCAACTTCCTTTTGACTAAAATATGATCCCCTATAAACTAATCATCAGCATTTCAACATATAGCCTTTTCTTTGAACAAAACCATTGCAAGGAAACAGTGCATTTCCTACAGATTTTATTTTTGAAGTATCATTCATTCTCCTTAGGGTCTGACTGTAGATTTTTGTTGGGAGCAGGTTCATCTGTGCTAATCAAGCAGCCTCTGGGGATTTATACCTTTAGTTCACACCAAATAAAGAAGAGGCAAGTTTCTCACTCGCTTTGCCCCTTCCTAGCAGTTGTTACATATGGACTGGTGGGGCTCTTTATTCTGGAGTTATTGCTTTTTACCTGTATCCCTCCTCTGAACTCCCCATTTCCACACATTTCTCTGGCTGGCAAAGTGGGTAAGAAGTCTGACAGTTTTTTAAATGTATGCTTAACCATTATATATAAAGATAAGATGTAGGGGAAAATAATAGGGTAGTGATACATTAGACATGGGGTTTGGACAGGAGTTAACATACCATGGAAGTTTGTATAATTCATACAATAAATGTATACAACCCTGCATTATTTCAAGCTTATTCTTCTAATATGTATATCCCTTATTTTCTAGCTTTCCTACAATTTCAAGCTGTGTAATACACAGTATCTAAGCTTTAGCAGGGTTAGATTTACACTGCACTGAGCCAGTGCCAATCTTCCATCTACTGGTGCACTAGTAAGGTTGCTGGCATTCAGACAGCTCTTGGAGTCCAAGCACATCATGAATGCACCTGGTTTTGATTTTTGCTGACCAGACCAGAACACAGGTTTCTCCTGAATTCTGATATCCTGCAACTCCCACAGCCCATTTTGTTGCCTGTTTTACTTTCCAACAGCCTTCCCCAACCACCTTCATCTGGAAAAGGGAAAATAAAGCTCAGGTTTGAAAAAGCAGATGTATACTGTGAATGGAAATTGTGAGGAGGGTTGTTTATAAAATGTACATAACTTTACCTCAATAAGCCATGGTTTAAGCTTGTCATCGATGATAATATCGTATCCATAGCACTCAAAGCAGTGTTTATCATTGTTCATTACAGGCTGAAACAAGTTAAGAAGAAATGTATATTAAAGAAGAAACATTTACTAAGTAACTTGAAAGATTATACATTACTATATTTCTCTACTATTATTTTTCTAGGTATCACATACAAATATAATACCAATTGTCTATGGCAGTTTTCTTAGTACAAGTTTTCTGCTCTGACTTCCCAATACAACATTAATATATTTAGGATTCATTTTTTATAAAAATGTCATCTTCTCAAGCTGTGTCTGAGTATTATCATACTAATCAGTGTATTAACAGAACATATTTGACTACAGCGCTTTCATTTAGTTTCACCTGTGTATCTTACAGCATCTGGTGAGTATGAAAACAAGAATGTTAAAGGCTTTCATGCCATACGTGAAATTAGAAATAATCTTACATTTTTATCTATAAAAATACAAATTTACCTAATCATTAACGCTTTCACTTTCAAATTAAATGTGACTTATCCAAAGACACTTGTTTATTATAGTGTTGTAACGATGCAGCAAAGATGGAGTTCAATCCCAGTTACTGACTAGATCCTTATATTTAAAATACTTTATCTCTATATCATTATATTTAGCTCAAGTCCACTATGGCCATGAAAACTAAAACAGGTTAGGGACTGAATAATGCTGGGATGGAAATTCTCAAGAGATTCACTCGTTTTCCAGCATCAGCTAAGGTCTTAAAGTAGGAATGCCAGGGCATCTCTTCTCCTGTGCAAAAACACTCACCAAATCATTTCAAGCAGTGGTTCTCAACCATGTGTATGCCTACCCCTGGGGGTACGTCAACTCATCTAGATATTTGCCTAGTCTTATAACAGGCTACATAAAAAGTACTAGCAAAGTCAGTACAAGCTAAAATTTCATACAGACAATGACTTGTTTATACTGCTCTATATACTATACACTGAAATGTAAGTACAATATTTATGTTCCAATTGATTTATTTGATAATTATATGATAAAAATGAGAAAGTAAGCAATTTTTCAGTAAGAGTGTGCAGCAACGCTTTTGTATTTTTATGTCTGATTTTGTAAGCAAGCCGTTTTTAAGTGAGATGAAATTTGGGGTACACACGACAAATCAGATTCCTGAAAAGGGGTACAATAGTCTGGAAAAGTTGAGAACCACTGATTCAAAGAACCCTTTGTAGCAGGTCAGTATAGATGATTTCCATAAATTAATACTGAAAGGTTTTCAGTCTTGCAGGGCGTAGGGGAAGGAAGGAAAAGCATTTCTCCTGTTAAGTTTAGGAAATAGAAAGGAGCACTGAAGCTATCAGAACACTTCCTTCTCTGTACATTATTTGTTTTCCTTCCGCTCCTCACATTGTTTCTCTTCTCTTTTACAATTCTGTTAATATTGGGATGAACTGCCTTTTCTTCTAGCATCTAATTTGGCACTTTGGGAAACTGCCTTCTGTAAATGCCTGCAGCTACCCATATACTATAAAGCTCTGTCAAGCTATTCAGGAGGAAAGGAGATACATGATCGTGCCATAGTTTTTTGACATGAGTTTGGGATAACTATATTACTCATATATCAGAGAGCCGCAAATAAGTTACACAAATTCTCTAAACAAAATGGAAGAAAGAACCTTAACACCCTGGCATTTTGTTTGACAAATTGTCTTCCCAGGCTATTTCCTTCTACGACAAATTTGTTACTACTGAAACATGTCATGGCTGGGCAGAGGTTAGGGTAATTCAAAAGGGCAGTATACAGTGACTTTAAATGAGAGTAAGAGTTTGTGATGGTTTCAGCACATTAATTTACTCATTTAATATACACACAAAGAGCTTGCCCCCACAATCAGGTTTCTCCAAGCACTCTCAGCTCTACAGGGACACTGAGAGGTGACAGAGTTTTTAAAAAGAACAAAAAGGTAAGATGGTAGCTCGAGAGCATCAGCATTCAAAAACAACAATCCAGCAGCAGGAAATGAATTGCTTTAGTTTTTTTCTTTACTGTAAACTTGTTTTCATGACTATTGAAAGTCTGCAGCCACGAGGGTAACTCTGGCAGCATTCCATTAACACTACTCACTGCAACGGCCTTCAGCGACTGCACAATTATCCAATGAATGTCATCGAACAGTTTGCTAGTGACCTCCTTTCCACGAGTACTCTCTAGATACAAGCGCAAGTTACTCACTGTCCATTTGCCTCCGTGGATATGATTGTAGTCATCCTATAGAGTTAAGGAGTTAATTCAGTCTCATGGAGTTTGCAATTATTTAGCAGTTGTATTCTCATCCGTACAAACTTACACTTGTTTCTAAGCACAAGTTTATTTTTTAAAACTATTTTTACTGTATGACATTTTGCAGGATATGTAAGGCCCCAATTTGTACTTTGCACAGCCTTCTATGTAACACAGAACACATTTTAAATCACCTACATATAATTACATAGCAAATCATAAAAACAAGTGTTAGAACTTGTCTTGTGGTAATTACAATTACATAAGAACAATAATTAACCAGAAGCTGCATTTTGACAGTCTAACGATGTAAGAGAGGACAAAGGAAATGCAGTTTAGGATTGGAATGATTGGGAGATCAGATTTTCAAGACTGAAAGGAAAGGGCTAGGTTTGGGGAGAGGGTTGTTTCATTGGAGAGGAGGACTAGAAGAGTGGTTAATTTAACAATGGTTAAACCACTGTTAAGTTAACCTTTTAAAAAACATAGCACTGACAGCAAGTTTGAAAGTCTCTGAAACACATGAAATATGACCAGTCATTTCTATTGTGAGTAGTCAGTCTTTTCCCCAGCAGGAAAAAAATTTGATCTAATAGTCAGCACTCACTGGGAGACACCAGCACCAGTCTCAGTCATGAACATACAGAAACAATGACAGCAATGTTCTTCAACACTGTATTTAAAATTATTTTTAATTCATAATTTTGATAAAGTATATCTGGCTACCTCTAGAATTTTAGACTGTACTGCAACTGTAAATGGAAAAGAGGGCTACTCTGTATTTATCCCTCATATTTATCCTTTTAGGAAGCTAACCTGTGAAGTCTTGAAATATATTGTGCTTGAAAGGCAAAGAAGACAAACTGAGGGTACTCCAGAACTGGCAAGCAAGACACACACTAATCAAGCTCCTGAGTAACTGTGGCAGTTTGTATCCCTATGTTCACCCTTTTTACAAAACTCTAGTGGATTTTGTACGAAGTATGCCTTGTGAGGTATCATTTGAAAACTCATAATTTGCTGATCATTATTACCCTGGTAAAATATCTGGCAACACTGTATGTAAAATTATACGGTTCTACTGTATAACATTACTGAGACACATTCCAAGTTTAGAAAAGCAGGCACAAAACAGTTCCTCAAAGACAAAAGGCAAACTGATGCCTCAGCCAGGTGTCAACAAAATCAAATGGACTATCACCTGTTTAAGTGGCCACTCTTTGGTAGGAAAAAGGGTGCGAGCAAGAAATCTACATTTTGGCAAAGAAACAGCTGTAGATTCCCCTTCCCACAGACCATCTGTCTCCTGAACCTCAGCTGGAGATGACTTTCAAAGAAAAAGAGGACTATAAGAAAAGGGAAGAGAGGCTCCAAAATACTCCTCCCTTTCTTCTCAGGCATCAACGCCACCTGAAGGACAAGAAAATTAACACTGAACTGGGGGAAGTGGTCCTGGCTGAAATAAGACTAGTGAAGCATGTGACGAGAGAAACCTTTGCTTTAAATTCATTTAGCTTGTTAAGTAAGATATTCATATTCATCCTTTTATTTTCTTGTAACCAGTTCTGACTCTTATGCCTGATTACTTGTAATCACTTAAAATCTATCTTTCTGTAGTTAATAAATTTGATTGTTTTATCTAAACCAGCGCGTGTTTGGATTGAAGTGTTTGGAAAACTTCATTTTGGGATAGTAAGATTTGTGCATATCATTTCTATTAATGAAATGATGGATTTTACATCATTTTGTATTGTCCTGTGCTGGGCAGTACAAGACACACATTTCTGGGGGAAAGTCTGGAACTGGGCGTTTGCTGGTGTTGCCTTGAAGTGTAATTGAGGTGTGGCTGGCTATAGCACTCATACAGTATAGCTGGGAGTGATTTACATGCTGAGGGCGGTGTGAGAGCAGACCAGAAGTGGTTGCTCTCATAGCGAAGCCATGTAAAAGGCACTACAGATTGGAGAATTGAGGGAACACAGCTGTCTATCGGTCCAGATTGTACCCCGAAGAATGTCACAGTGCCTCTCAGTGTATATTTTTTAGCTTTATAAAGGCTCTTCTCAGAAAGTTTCCAAGAACGTTATTTATTTTGTGAGGCTGCTAAATTATAAACCACAATGTGCCCTGGAAACAAAAATAAAACTTTAGTGGAAGACTGTGTTTACCCATCTGAGAACAAAGCATAAGAAGCCTCTCTATTTATTTATAGGCTTTTCTACAGTGCTCATCTTTGTAGTGTCTGAGAACTTGTACAGAATGAAGCATCTGAAACATGTGATTCTCACAACTTGCCCCATGAGAAACTTCTTAAGATTCCAAATTCCTGCTAGGGGATGTACATCAAAGCTTCAACCCCGTTCAATCTACACTTTGATTCCAGAATACCTGTCCTGAAAGTCTGAGCAGATGTGACTAGATAGAGTGATGCATATCATGTGCTGGTTAACAAAGAACATGATAGCAAATTGGACCACACCGTGTCACTTATATCTGCCATGAGGCCCACAAGAAATCTCCAACCAATTCTGGCTAGGTAGAGACAGAAGGGATTGCTGTTATTTTGTTTACATTTTACACACACACACAAAAGTTCAGTGATTTAGACCCAAATATCCAAGTGTTTGTTTATTATTACTGAAAGAGAATTTCCCTTCCCTTTGTTCCTATTTTTTTGTTTCACTTGCTTGCTTGATCTTATCTGAAATTAGATTATAAACTTTTTGAGGGATGGACTATGTCTTCCCATGTATTTGCACCACACATAATACAAAGAGACCACAATCGAGAACTACTGGAATACTAATAAATAATTTAAGTTAAAAGTTAATTTCCCTGGACTTGAACTAAGATTTCAGAGGAAACCCATGACCTTAATCTCATGATAATTTGGGCACTCATAATAGTTTATACAAAAAGCAAGAATCTTGTTCTAGCATTTACCTATCTGATTGATTAAGATCGCTTCCACAGCTACAGAGCTTTCATATAGCAGAACAACATATATTGACTTGTCTATGGGCCCTTCAGAGGTGGATAGGGTTACTTAACAATTTCTGCTGGCATTTCCTCTCCCAAGTAGACTTTACATTCCTCAATCATTTCTAGGCTGAACTACTCTAATGTGCATTACTGGGAGCAGACCTAACCTTGAAAGTAATACAGTCGAGCTGATAGGGAACATGGCTTGCTTGCTAACTGGGACACGTATACCTAAAACCTGAATTCCAATCTCAACCCCATCAGCCTGTTCACTGCCAAGTGCAATGGAGGGTGTCAATTATGTATAAAGTTCTAAATAGCTTGGGCCACAGCTACCTCCAAGACCAATTCTCCTTGTGTCCTATCTTATCAGTTAACTAGCTGGAATGTTTTTGAGAGCTAAGGGTACGTCTACACTTACCTCCGGGTCCGACGGCAGGCAATCGGTGTTCTGGGATCGATCCCGGAAGTGCTCGCCGTCGACGCCGGTACTCCAGCTCAGCGAGAGGAGTACGCGGCATCGACGGGGGAGCCTGCCTGCAGCGTCTGGACCCGCGGTAAGTTCGGACTAAGGTACTTCGAATTCAGCTACGTTATTAACGTAGCTGAATTTGCGTACCTTAGTCCGAAGTGGGGGGGTAGTGTGGACCAGGCCTAAGTTCTCAGATGACAAGGAATATTCACTATTGGGGAAAAAGAGCATTCATTGGTGAGCGACCTTGTCTTTCAAATTTACTCCTGCTTATAGCCACTAAAGTCAGAACTTAACGATGTTTAAGATTTGTGTTATTATTGCAGTACTGCCCAGAGGCCCTGGTTAGAATCCGAGCCCTGTTGTACTATGCACTGTACAAATACAGTAGGAGATAGACCTTGCCCTAAAGAGTTTAGGATTTTAAATAAAGTAACTCCTCACTTAAAGTCGTCCTGGTTAACGTTGTTTCGTTGTTACGTTGCTGATCAATTAGGGAACATGCTCATTTAAAGTTGTGCAATGCTCCCTTCTAACGTCGTTTGGCAGCCGCCTGCTTTGTCCACTGCTTGCAGGAAGAGCAGCCCGTTGGAGCTAGCTGGTGGGGGCTTGTAACTAGGGTGGACCAGCAGCCCCCCTATCAGCTCCCCGCTCCCCTAAGTTCCCTGTGCTGCAGCCACCCAGCAGGCTATCAATTGCCGGGCAGTTCAGCTGTCCCTCCCCCCCACTGCCATGTGGTGCTCCTGCCCTCTGCCTTGGAGCTGCTCCCAGAGACTCCTGCTTGCTGTGCAGGGAGGGGAAAGGGGGGGCTAATGTCAGGGTGTCCCCCTCCCCCCTCCACCCCACTTATCCCTTCTTCATATAGAGGAGGGAGGGAACACGGATGGAGAGAGATAGAGAGAGCTTGGGGCAGCAGCTGCTGTCTCAACTTCCTGATCCACTTAAAAAGACAATGCACTTAAGAGTGGGTCAGCTTACTTAAAGGGGCAGTGTGCATCTCTCTCTCTCTCCCACACACACAAAGTGTGTGTCTGTCTCTGTCTGCTATGCTGTCTCCCCTCCCTCGTGTTCGTGCTGCCTTGTGTGAGAGGCTACATTAACAACGTGTTAACCCTTGAGGGCTCAGCCGAATGCTAGTTCATCATTTAGCAGCAAGGCATTCCCTGGGAAATATCCCTCCCTCTTCCACCCTCTAACTTCACCACCTTCACAATCATCATAGCTGTGAACAGTATTAAATTGTTTAAAACATATACTGTGTGTATATCTATATAATATATAGCTTTTTGTCTGGTGAAAAAAATTTCCCTGGAACCTCACCCCCCTATTTACATTAATTCTTATGGGGAAATTGGATTCGTTTAACATCATTTCGCTTAAAGTCGCATTTTTCAGGATAGAACTACTACATTAAGCGAGGAGTTACTGTACTATATTTAATCTATTTTAAGACACCATCAAAAATGTAAAATACAAAACGATCAGGTACAATTTGATTAAGTATTTATAATTGATAGTTGGGGCAATGATATAAGGTACAAAGCTGTACATTTATCTATAGCCACATTTATGGCCACTTTAAAATGCTAGTGCTTAGGTACAGCTTTATAGACTTATGAATACATATGCTTTTAACTGTTGCAGTTTGAAACTGAAAATATCCACATTATAGTGCTGCTCTGTGTTCCATCTATTATCTCATGTGCTTTTGAAGTAATATGAATCAATTACGTTTTGCAAATAAAATGCATAACATAAATATTTAGCTCAGATGACTTAATGAGGAGGAGGGTGAAGAACAGACCAAAATACACAAGCGCTTATATTCCATTTTTATGCCATTTAAAATAATCCAGTCTGCTATTAAATTAGCATTTTTGAAACTCAAACACTTACCCCATGTTTCTGAATGGCAACATTTGTAAGATGTACAAACATGTTATCTAATTCGCTTGTACTTGGTGTATATTTTACTGTGCAAAACCGGCAAAATCCAAGTTTATACCTTAAACAAAAAAAGACATTTAATATGTTAAATGCAACTAGAGTTGAGGAAAACAGCATTCTAAAATACTAGATGCTTGGTAAATTTCTCTGTACAATGCGTGCAGAACCTTTTGGCTGAATATATCTTAACATTAAAAAAAAAAAAGAGCTAGAAATTAGTTTGATCTTACATGTAACACCGCAGCGGACGATACGTAGACACTAAAACATACAAGCGCAGGTCAAATTTCTTCCCACCAATCAGTAATGGATTGTTGATATAGAGAGAAATTACATAGGCTTCTTTAGAAGATTGAGAAACAAACCTGGAAAAAGTACATATAGTATGTTTCAGAATGTGCTGATTAAATGTTGAAACGTTTTCCTCCCTTAGAAGCAGTCTCTCAAAAAGTAATGAAGTTCTAACTTTACTAAAATCCTATATCACACTTCAATTAAGTTTTAATATTATGCTGGTTAATGTGTGCAGGGCACTTGGTTTCACTGTGTACAAAAACATAGCTAAAACAAATGAGTGGGATTAGCTGTCCATTTAAGTTTTTTACATTTCACTGTTATAAGAAGAGCATTTAGGCTCTGACTCAGCAAGCTATTTTATTTAGCAAAGCCCTTAAATACAGACTTGAGTGCGTCACTAATTGGGGCCTTTGCAATTATGTTTATCAGTAGTCAATATCGATGATTTAAACCATCAAGCCACGTTAATGGCAACATCAGTTTGCCTCTTAAATTATCAATAATTTTTAATAAGATCTGACTGTTAAAAGTCCTCTCGGAAATGCGGTCACCAACATTTTTAAACCCGAGGGGAAAAAAGACAACTAAGAAAAAAAATGCAAAAAAGAAGTTCTTCAGGTTGCTTTTGTATTGGAAGGCTACTTGTCTCACAGTTACTTTGTATTGGAAGGCTACTTGTCTCACAGTTACTTTTTTAATCAGAATGGGATAATAAAAATGGTCAAGCGATACAGATTTTTCTCTTGGTAGAGCAGCCACATTCCTCCTCTGTGTTGGGTGGGATAGGCGACAAAAACAAGGATCATGGTCCCTTTCCCCAAGCTTCTTCCTCTTCTGACTCATTGTGAGGATGCTCTATTCCTTCCTCCTACTTTAATGCAAGTCTTAGATTTTATGGCTTCCCTATTCATGAGGCCCAGCTGTCAGCTCTGCTCTTTAACTGCCTAATAGGCCACAGCCAATAGCTCCTCTCTCCAGGCCCCTTATTGAAGGCAGTCCATGCAGGCTGTTTTTTTGTACGCAGAACAGTGAAAAGATTTCATGGTTCAACTGAGGATGGGGTTGCACAATGTCACACAATCTTCCTCAGACTGAAAATGAAGTCACTTACTAGAAGCGAAAGACTTTCCTCTAACTCACAATTCTTTAATGCTGTGAAGCAAAATCATTATTCCAGTCTGCCCATGCAATTTTATTCCTCACATAGCTGGGCATACAAACCCTGCACCTTCACAGAAAGCATATTTATATAGTGTAGCTCACTGAATTAGTGCTTGTGCCACATGGCACCAAATGCAATAATTGGCACTAAGAGCTGTTTGAAGCAGGAAGTCATTAAATGAGAAATTGCAACTATAATGAAGTAATGCTAAGTGGTTAGGTGCACGGAAAGAGTTCTCCGTTAGTGAATTGATATTAAGCATGCCAGACTGTGATAGAATATTACAAAATACACCAAAAATGGGGGAGAAGGAGGTTAAACTTACGAAGATGTTTTACTGTCTCGAGACCACTTTTTAATTTGAGAGAGTTTATTGATAAGAAATATCCCCTTCCCCTGGGCTTTCCCGCAAGGTTTCATAATCCAGGTGCTGGAAGGATTTTTTCTGAATTCTTCAACAAACAGGTTGTAATCAGCAGGGAGCATAAAGGTGACAGGCACAAAATCTACATCAGCAAACAAAAGGCAAGATTTAGAACTTCAGTTCTAGCAAGGATATCAATCTATGCAGGTAAAAATATCTTCGCTGGCTTTCCATTCTTCAGTACAGATTGACTACTGTGTCCTTGTCTGATCTACCCCCTTTTGATATGAGAGAACATAAGACCACAACATAAGATCAGCAATACTGTGGAAGACCAATGGTCCATCTAACCCAGAGTCCTGTCTTCCGACTGTGGTCAGTGCCAGAACAGAACAGGGCAATTACTGAGTGATCCATCCTGTATGGTCCATTCCCAGCTTCTGGCAGTCAAAGGTTTAGGGTCACCCAGAGCACAGGTTGTATCCCTGACCATCTTGGCCAAAAGCTATTGATGGACCTAACTTCCATGAACTTATCTAATTTTTATTTTTACCCAGTTATAATTTTGGCCTTCACAACGTCCTCTGGCAACACATTCCACAGATTGACTGTGCGTTGTATGAAGTACATCCTTATGTTTGTTTTACATCTGCTGCCTATTAATTTCATTGGGTGACCCTGTTTTGTGTGTTATGTGAAGGGGTAAATACTTTCTTATGCACATTCTCCACATCATTCATGCTTTTATAGACCTCTATCATATTCCCATTTAGTCATTCCTTTTCTAAGATGAACAGTCCCCGTCTGTTTAATCTCTCCTCATATGGAAGCTATTTCATACCGAAGTCATTTTTGTTGCCTTTCTCTGTACTTTTTCCTTTTTTGAGATTGTGCAACCAGAACTGCATGCAGTATTCAAGGTATGGGTATACCATGATTTATATAGTGGCATTATAATATTTTCTGTCTTAGTATCTATCACTTTCTCAATGGTTCCTAACATTGTTAGCTTTTTTCACTGCCACTGCATACTGATGTTTTCAGAGAACTATCCATAATGACTCCAAGATCTCTTTCTTAAGTGGTTAACAGCCAATTTAGACCCCAACATTTTGTATGTATAGTTGGGATTATGTTTTCCTATATGCATTACTTTGCACTTATCAATGCTGAATTTCATCTGCCATTTTGTTGCCCAGTCAGCTTTGGACTTACGGTAACTATCTTCAGTAGGTTTGTATCATCTGCAGATGTTACCACCTCATTGTTTACTCCCTTTTCTTGATCATTTATGAATAGCACTGGTTCCAGTACAGATCCTTGCAGGATCCCACTATTTACTTCTCTCCACTGTGAGAAATGACCATTTATTCCTACCATTTGTTTCCTATCTTTTAACCAGTTACGAATCCAGGAGAGGACCTTCTCTCTTATCCTAGGACTACTTACTTTAGTTAAGAGTCTCTGGTATGGGACCTTGTCAAAGGCTTTCTTAATGTCCAAGTACACTATATAAACTGGATTACCCTTGTCCACATGTTTGTTGACACTGTCAAAGAATTCTAATAGATTGGTATGGCATGATTTCCCTTTACAAAAGCCACGTTGACTCTTTCCGAAGATATTATGTTCATCTATGTGTCTGATAATTCTGTTCTTAGCTACAGTTTCAACAAATTTGCCTGATATTGAAGTTATGCTTACCAGCCTGTAATTGCCTTTTGGAGCCTTTTTAAAAAATTGGTGCTATATTATCTATCCTTCAGTCATCTGGTACAGAGGCTGAGTTAAGCACTAGGTTACATACCACAGTTAGTAGTTCTACAATTTCATATTTTGAATTCCTTCAGAACTCTTAGGTGAAAACCATCTGATCCTGGTGACTACTGCTATTTAATTTATTAATTTGTTTCAAAACCTCCTCTACTGACACCTCAATCTGGGACAACTTGGAAAAAACGGAAAATGGAATTTGGTAGGTTCTAAAGTGAAAAATCTTTTAAAGGTTTTAATATTTTGTCCCACGAATAAGAGAAAGCTGTTTTAGTTTTGAAATAGTTGGTAAAAAGTTCTAGAATCTCACAGCTAAGTCTCTGCATGAAACCCCAAACCTTCCCAACAGCCTCTTCCATCCTTCTTCTTTTGGTTCTGTGGCAACACACCTCTTTCGTCATATCAGGGCTGAGTGTTTCTCTCTCTGCGTTGAGAGGGTCTGGGGTAAATCAGTCCCACTCTGGAGGTTTAATACTTCACACTGGTTTATTGACAATATTTACTGGTTAGGCCTTAGGGTTGGCCCGAGGTCTTCTTTAAACAAAAACAAAAAAATTACATTTCCTAACTCCCACTGGAACACTGATTCTTCTTATGTCGGCTACTAATTGCCAGCCACCCTCTCTAACCCACTTTGGGCCCAGCTATGCTGGGAACCAAGGCCTCCTCTCCAAACAGAAATAAACACTAAATTTCCCCTTATGGGGAAAACCAACTCTTTATCTAGAAGAAGCCTTTTCCCCTGGCTGCACACAACCCTTCTGCAGCTTGAATCTCATCCCTCTTCTCTTTTCACTGTTAATGGGAGAGGTTTTTAAAGGCCGCAGGCTGCCCTTAATTAGATTCAGGTGTTTATAATTAACCTGAGCTAACCTCTTCCACTTCATAGGGAAAAAGGCTTTAACTATTCTACAACTGATATACCTGCTTTCAACCACACTTCCAGAACTGAGGTCTAGTTCTGATTAAAAAGTGAGAAAATTCTTAACCTTAATAAAAGGGAAATAATGGCTTTTTGTGATAGTGATTCAGAGTAACTTTTAAAAGGGGCCACCCAAAGTATGTCAATTAAAAATAATGTTAACTTTGTTATCAGCACCAATTTAGAAGCTTAAAACATGTGTCTGCAAATTGGATTTGTCTTCCTCCATATATGTGACTAGTGGTATACAAGAGGAGCATATGGTTCGGTACTCTGAGTTTAGAACCGGGAACAAGGAACACCCAAGTGTTAATCCCAATTATTAACTGCCTCTGAAGCCCTGAGCAAGTTACAGGCCCTTTGCCTCATTTTCTCTATTTGTAGAAGATTTATCCATTAACTTTCAAGGCAATGTTTGAGAAGAGCTTTAAAAATGTAATACACTATATAAAATACTAAGAATTATTTGTGTTCTTTTTGCTAGTGTGGTGAGTGAGCCTGAAGTTTTTTTTACTCACTTGTTCACACGCAAGAACAATATCATGACTAAGGCTACATTTATGTCATGGAAGCCCTGCTACATCACTAGAACCACTACTATAAATGTACCGTTGGCAAGATACTAGCAAAGATGCCAAGGACTGAATGTGGACATTGAATTATGGCACCCTTAAAAACAGTCTTTAACGAGCAGCACCGAGGCACTTTGACAGGTAATTTGGTGATACTTGCAATTTCATTGCCTATGCCAAACATACTCTGCAGATTAAAAAAAATACGCAATTTTAGTCTCCAAGACTTTCTGACATCTCTGAGCACTAAATTTTCTGAAAGCATCATACTAAAGCTGTGACGTGCAAATTTATCTAGCTTAGGCAAGAATCCCAAACGGATTCCAACATCCAATACTGCTTTTGTTTGAAGTGCATTAATCTGCAGTTTTATCCTACTATTATCACAAAATGAACATGTATAATCTATGTGTGGTCAATAACAAGAACGATGCTGGCAGTCAGAAATATATACCTAAATAAATATATTTTCCATTCTCATCTTTCTCTGCAAGAGGACTCCCTTCTTTTTCTAGTTCTTTCCTATATCTCTTGATATTTTTCACCATCAAGTCCTTCCTTGTCAGCTCATAATGGTTCGGGAAATGGTTGACGATTTGGTCATCAGAAAGCCGGTAACCAGTTTCCACACTGAAAACATTGCGGATGGTTTGTACGCTCATCCTAGAAGGTGAAACAAATGTCAGATGATTTCCTCACAAGCAACAACATTCAAAAGGAGGACAATCAAGTTGTTGTCTCCTTTATTTTCTAATTTCACTTTGGTTAGTGTACTGAATTTAGAAGATTAAAAGAAAAAAGACTAAGCATAATGTTAAGGAATACTACTTTTAAGGGAATCTGTGACCCTCTCTGTGTTTAACATTTCTCTTTATAGGATGGATACTTAGGTTATGATTGAAACTTCAGCACATCCTGAACCAATGTTAGTGAATCCAGATGAAACCCTGCCAGACAAGACTGCAGGCCTACAGGCACTATTTACTCCTACGCCAGTTCTGAAACCAGGGCAGGGACAGAAGGGAGTCAACTTGTGCCCATCCTATCTTGGCACTATCAGTGGCCAATCAGTCAACAACAGGGCTTGGGAACACCCAATGCATGTCCACACACCATAGCAGCACCTCTCTGGAGCTACTATCTTGTTCTTCAAAATCTCAACTTTCCTTTTCTATAAAAAGAAAGGAAATCTAACTTATGTTTTGAATGAAACGTCAAAAATATGAATATGATTCAGAGACATCTGCAAGTCTGCAAAGAGCCTGGAACAATAGCTCTGGGAGGTGTGAACTGCACTATTCAGCTCTGTAAGGTGCGGGTCCCACTTGGACACCCACATTGCTAACTATTTCATTCCTCATCTAAGAAAGGAGAGGGAGGGTCACAGATCTGCACCATTTACTGTGACTGACTATGACAATCAAGGTCCAGACACTCCAAGGGGACAAGAGGCCTGAACTCCAAATAGGCAAATGAATCAACTGGTTCTATACAATATTGACTAAAGTCTTTTACAAAAGTCTGTAATGTTCTAAACATGGTCATTATGAGATCTATATACAGACCATTGTTATGAATTCATGTATACAGAAAACAGTGCTCATGATTTGTAGTGCCGTCAAGCAGGGAGGGGCTGCCTCCCCAACCAGAAGAGACTAGCTCCAAGCACCTAATATTGTACAATCCAGGAAAAGACAAATGATGGGCCTTTAGAGTTAGGCTATGTCTACATTGGCAACTGGACGACAAAACTTTTGTCTTTCAGAGGTGTTAAAAAACACACACACACACACACGTACACACACACACCCCGAAAGACAAAAGTTTTGCCAACAAGTGGCAGTATGAACAGCTCTTTATCGGCAGGAGTGCTCCCCTGCCGACAACGCTAATGCTGCTGGTTGGGAGTGGAAGTTTTTTTGTCAGCAGGAGAGTCGACAAACAGCAGCTACACTGCGCGCCTTTTAGCGGCACAGCTGTAGCGGCACAGTTGTGTTGCTAAAAACTGTGTAGTGTAGACATAGCCTTAGTGAGAAAACACAGACATCCCAGCTAGAATTTCCCCACCCTGAATAACCAGAAGTCACCGAGACAAGAGAAAAAAACAAAAGAAGAGAAAAAGCCCTTTCAAATAGGAGGCTTGAAAGTGAGGTCTCCATTCAGAAACTAAGGGACAGTCAATTGGCGGGCACTGTCCGTGAAACCGTGGATCCTCTCTATGACATGGGGTACGCTGGGAAACTGTTCAGAGGCAATAGGCAACTTATGTTAGAAAGTGAAGTTTATCTAATTTGGAAATGTAAAGCCTAAGGTTATATCTTTGCATTTATTTTCTGTGTAACTTGAATGTGTATGCTTCCCCTTTCAATCTATGATTTTTCTATTAAATAAACTTTTTGTTTAGTTGCACCCCAAGCAGGTCTCTGATGTGCAAACTGTGGGGAGTGTGTGCGCCAAAGCAAGCTGGTATCTGGGGGGCTGGTTTCATGCCTTCAGGGATGATGAACCAAAGGGGAAAAGTCTGAGTGTCTGGTGATTAACAACTCAGGTTGGATGAATTTGGGGAGACTTGGGATCAGAACGGCTGTTGGGGTCACCCTGCAAGGAGCAATTAGGCTGGTGGAAGCCAAGGTGAGACCTTTATGCTTGTGGGTTGGCTACCAGTGGCAGGGCTCTGAGCCACAACAGCATAGCATTAACCCCCAATCAGGGGCAAGGGATTCTTCCTAAAAGCATGTGCGTGGAGGTGGGGGGGAAACATGAGGCATGGCCTGGGGGCAGGGCCTATGGGGCTGACAAGCTGCAGCTGGACCATGGTAAGAGCCACCCGGGCAGCTGTGGGGAGCCGTGGCCCCTCTAGCTGCCTGGACGGGGAGCCCGGGGGGGAGGGGAGGGACACGGGCTGGGGGGCTGCTCTCTGGGGCCCACCTCCCCCCAGGCAGGTGGAAGATCCGCAGCTCCCTGGGTTCCACGGACCACTCTTACCCGGGCCGGGCTCCAGCTTCCAGCTTGGCCGGGGAGGGGTGAGGCCTCAGGAGTTGATGAGTGGCAGAGGGCCGGGCCCGTGGCAAAAAGTGGACCTCTGCAGTCATAGGGCAAAAAGGGGGTTAGTGGGGTACAGATTGTAATAAGAATCCATAGCCCACTAACCCCCCTTTTGGGCCCATGAAAGCAGAGGTGTTAACGGACCAGTCTAACTTGAACGGTCCCTTAGTATATGTGCTAACTACTTATGCTAAACAATCTGTTCCATCTTGCATTTAGCTGTGATGCTCAGAGTACCTTTTCCAGACCTGAAGAAGATCTCTGTGTGGCTCAAAAGTTTGTCTCTCTCTCCAACAGAAGTTGGTCCAGTAAAACTAAAAGATATTACCTCACCTTGTCTCTCTAATATCGTGGGACTGACATATCTAAAACTACACTGCATGTGTTTCAGGTGGCAGCTTTTGAAAACAAAAACAAAAAACCAACCTACGAAACAATCAAAGAAAAAACCACACCTACCTCCTATGCCTCAATCCTACCACTGGATTAATACAGACAGGCCCCTGCACCCCTGGGGAGCCCTAATGACTTCAATGGGGCCTGCACAGGTAGAAGGGTCTCCTCATGCAGATGTAACTGCAGGATTAAGGCCCTGCAGTGCTGCAGAAAACACTGGCACTTTAATGGAGGCATGCTTCCCTTCAGTGTTACAAGACATCAGTGATATTCTACATTTGTATGGAGCCTTTAATTTTTAATATTAACAATAAATCATTAACACTGGTTTTAGTTATGGAAAAGTTCATTTTAAACTGTACCGCAAATTGAAAAATATGAGAATTCTTATATGTACTTACCAGTAAAAATTCCAGTCTTCATTTTCTGCCACCTGAATCCATCCTCTCTTTTCAAAGTTATTTATTAGCACGGACTTTTCTATGTCAGTTACCCATTTCACTTTTCCTGCCATTATCCTAAAGAAAAATCAACTTGTAGTATTGCATAGTTTCAAGACTGCCTCTCTTTCATTTTGTACTTAATACAGGCCAGATAAATCCAAATGGAGAAATGAAAGTGTATCCACAGGGTAACTTACCTTTAACCTTTTTAGAGGAGGAAGAAGTAAATTCATTCAGTATTTGAGAAAGACGATGGCTCCATTCGCACTAGAGACTGAAGTCCTATATTTATTCCCAGAACAGATATAGCATGGGTAGCAGTAGTTGCAAGCCTCTTTCATGCTGCCCTGACAGCATCCCTCAAATCTCACCTAAGGGACCACATTTAGGAATGAGAACGTAATTCAAGTCTCTATGGCCTCTCCAAAACTGCTAACAAGAGTACAGATTAGCATCAACTGTGCTAGTGACTATCTGTCCACTGAACTGAGAACACCAACTTGCCTTTATCTTGGATGTTTACAAAATAAAATTTCGTGTACTGGAAATTTTATCATTTATAGTCAACACTTAAATGAAAATCTCTCTTTTAAATGGGAGATATTTCATGGCCCACCTTACTCAGTAACTATGGAAACAACAATGTGAGACTATGTAAAGGATTTATGTTGTGAATCCTCTATCAAATATTCACAGTATACTGTAGGACACAACATTTTTTATTTAATTTCAAAATCTCCTTGTTGTTGTCATATGATTGTTTCTTTATTTCATATAACTGCTAGTTAGCAACTTGCTTCTGGTTGGGTGCATTGACAAGCAACTCTCAAGAGAGTTAACAATATTAATCTCCAGAATCAAGATCTTTACAACGCTTATTGGAGAAGAGCCCTTAAAAGCCACACCCTGATAAAATAGTCACTTCCTGTCATCTAGAGCTTATTTCCTATATCCCATTTCTCACATAGCAGCATAACACCCTTCTAATACACAATTAAAAAAAAAATCTAACAGAGACGTTATAATGAAGTCACTGAGGATCTCAGTGGGTGCAGGCATCTGGCAAAGTGGATCTAATTGGAAGAGCATGGTTTAACTATAACTATTATGCAACTAAATTAATTAGTGGAGCCAAAGATGACCTGTCTTTGTCTTCAACAGGGTTAAGTTATGATATGCAAAACCCCAATGTTACTATTCAATCCACAAGTCACTTTTAAAATTGAACTCCAGAGGAGTTGCCTAGTTAGCTCCCCCATAGCTATTTGAAAAAATGGAAAATTGCTGGCTCGTAATAGGTTAAAAAACCCACCCATCATTCTCTTCAGATCAAATGCTACTATTCTGACTGAGACAAACAAGAGTTCTCTTCTGGCTCTGCCTGGGACAACAGGCAAAGGATAAACTGCTGCCGAGAGCCAGAAAAAAATGTAAAAAACATCTCACACAATGCTCTGCATCTGTTCTGATATGTAAAATACAGATATCAAACGGAGAATAACTTAATAAATTAATTAAAGTGTATGATTTTCAAGTGAATCAGAAATTAAAACTTCAAACTCACATTTACTAGTGGACCCTCCATTATGCTTTTATTTTTTTTTACTGAAGATTAAAAAATAGTTCTGAATTGATATAAGGCAGACTTGTGTGAGAGAAAGTGTGATCTTGTGGTCAAGGCACAGGGAATAGAACTCAAAAGATCTGTCATCAATTCCCAGCTTTGCCACAGACTCTTCTTATGGGACCTGGGATAAATTACTTAATTTCTCTGTGGCTCAAGTTCAACCCTCACAGGAAGTATTATCCCCATTTGATATTTCTCCTACGTTTGTCTGTCTTGTCTATTTAGATTGTAAATTCTTCAGGGCAGGTGCCTCCTACTCCTATCTGTGGCCCTGATCCTGCAAAGATTTATGACCAGGCTTTAAAGGGCTCATTTAGCTGAAGGGAAGTGTGTTTTTCACTGTCAGTAAATGACTCACTAATGTATGTGATCTCACAGTAGTATTAAAAGCGCAAGCATTCAGGGCTTCTCACCCTTTTCTTCACTTCAAAGTAATCTATTAAAAACTAGAGGCACAATAAACTAATTTCTGAAAACCAAAATTAAATACAAAGGAAGTTGGCTGCCACAGCATCTTTTCCCGCATGGCCATCTTTTTACTAAGCCCTGGTCTACACTACGAGTTTAGGTCGAATTTAGCAGCGTTAGATCGATTTAACCCTGCACCCGTCCACACAATGAAGCCATTTTTGTCGACTTAAAGGGCGCTTAAAATCGATTTCGGTACTCCTCTCCGATGAGAGGATTAGCGCTGAAATCGACATCACCGGGTCAAATTTGGGGTAGTGTGGACACAATTCGACGGAATTGGCCTCCAGGAGCTATCCCAGAGTGCTCCATTGTGACCGCTCTGGACAGCGCTTTCAACTCAGATGCAGTACACAGCAAAAACCCCGGGAACTTTTGAATTTCATTTCCTGTTTGGCCAGTGTGGCGAGCTCATCAGCACAGGTGACCATGCAGTCCCAGAATCGCAAACGAGCTCCAGCATGGACTGAACGGGAGGTACTGGATCTGATCGCTGTTTGGGGAGACGAATCCGTGCTATCAGAACTCTGTTCCAAAAGACGAAATGCCAAAATATTTGAAAAAATCTCTAAGGGCATGATGGACAGAGGCTACAACAGGGACCCGCAGATATATATACCCTAAGATATTACAACACATCCTATATTTTCTTAAACAAGGCATCGGAGATACTGGCCTAGCAAAACAGCTCTACACTACCATACGGGAGAGAGAGGTTCAGTTACTAGTTCTGATATCTTGTTCCCAAGAAGGTTATGCACTCAGACCTGTGAGGAGGGTCTTCTAGAGATTTTTAAAACTGACTCCTCCAGTCTATTAAACCGCAGCTGACTAGTTAGTCCCCTCCCCTGTTTAACACCCTGGGCATATAACCACCTTCCAGGGTAAAAGGTGAATTTCAAAGCTACAGGAGAACTGAACCGTGTTTGTATCCTCCTTTATTGCTTCTTTGTGGTGATTAAAGACTGCCACAAAGTTTCTTTTTCTGCTCCCCCCCCCTTTTTTTTTAAATTAACACACACACACACACACACACATACTCTATCTAGGTACTTAAACAGGCCCTCCTTACTGGAGCATCTGAGTTCTTCACAAATGTATATGAATTTATCCTCACAACACAATTATGAGGATGGGAAATATCCCCACCAGGGCAACAGAGAGATTAGGTAACTTTTTGAAGGTGACAGAGGAAGTGTGTGGCAAAGTTAAGCACAGAATTTAACCTCCAGTGTCTAAACCACAAGACCATCCTTCCTTTCATTTAGGAACATTAAATCTTGATGTCCCTATTTTTAAAGGACCCAAGATCTAATGGGAGGTCAATAATACAAGAGACTCCAAATCATCAAAATATCCTGAGTGCTAAATTTATTATCCCAGGAGGATGCATAATTAAACTGTTTAAAGCTTTGTATTTTTTATAATGTATTTACAAATAACTGCAAGCAAAAATATTTGTCTTAACAGACTACAGTAACCCTGAAAAAGATTACAGGAAAGTAACAACATATATTCAACAGTATAGGTAATACTTTAAGGCTACAATCAAGGTAGTATAAATTTAATCCAATATCTAATGCTCAGTCTATAGGGATTTATATCCGATATGCCTCTCTCCCTCCTCCACCCCCACGCCCCCCACAGTGTGATTAGATCAGTGGTCACCAACCAGTAGATTGCGATTGACTGGTCGATCCTGGAGCCTCTGACAATCGATCACGATCTCCAGCCACTAAAAGTCTGGCCGCGCAGCATGGCTAAGGCTCTTTGCCTGCCCGTACCCCCACTCCTGAAAGAGGCCAACGCGTCCCTGTGGCCCAGGGGGTGGGGGCAGGGGGTCTCCGCAGGTACCGCCCCTGCAGCTCCCATTGGCCGGGAACGGGGAACTGCGGGAAATGGGAGCTGCAGGGACGGTGCCTGCAGGGAGGGGCAGCATGCGGAGCCTCATGCCCTCTTCCAGGGTCTGCAGGGACGTGCTAGCCGTTTCCGGGAATGGCACAGGGCTTGGGCAGGCAGGGAGCCTGCCTTAGCCCCGCTGTGCCGCCAACCGGGAGCCACCCGAGGTAAGTGCTGCCTGCCGGGAGCCCGCACCCCTCCCGCACCCCAACCCCCTGCCCTGAGCCCCCTCCAGGAGCCAGCACCCCAAACCCCCTGCCCCAGCCCTGAGCCCCCTCCCAGAGCCAGCAACCCATACCCCCTCCTGCACCCCAACACTCTGCCCCAGCCCACAGTCCCCTCCTGTACCCAAACTCCTTCCCAGAGATTGCACCCCTTACCCCCTCCTGTACCCCAACCCCCTACCCCAGGCTCAGCCTGGAGCCTCCTCCCACACTCCAAACCCCTCTGCCTCAGCCCAGAGCACACACCACCTCCCACATCCCTACCCCAGCCCGGTGAAAGTGTGTGAGGGTGCGGGAGAGTGAGCAAGGGAGGGAAGGGGGATGAGTGAATGGAGCAGGGCCTCGGGGAAGAGGCGGGGTAGATCCTGGGTTGCATTTACATTCAAAAAGTGATCTTGTGCATAAGAGGGTTGAAGACCACTGGATTAGATGATCTAAAAGGTTCTCTCCATCTCTGATGTTTAAGACTACAATTCTGAGTTCATACTCAAACAATACCCTTTAAAGTTAATATAAAAATCTCATTAAGTCAGTGGTAGTTTTGCCTGTGTAAGAGAACTGCAGGATCAGATTATCTGATACCAGGTATATTTTAAAAGTTCTTAAATATCAAATAAATGGGGCCTGAACAGTAAAAGTTGTACAATGATCTGATACATAACAAAATAAAAATATACATAAATTAATTAGAACTATAGAGATCAGTAATCCAGAATTACTAGAAACACATCACATATAAAGTGATAAATATAAACTAGATAAATACAAACTCCATAGGCCCACTCCCACAAGTGCTTACCACTACTGAACACAGTGTTTGCTACTGAGAGTAGTCCCATTGGGATAAGTCATGGACTAGGAACTCATGGTAGTACCAACTCACTAAGGGCTGGTCCACACTAACCCCCCAGTTCGAACTAAGATACGCAACTTCAGCTACGTGAATAACGTAGCTGAAGTCGAAGTATCTTAGTTCGAACTACAAGGTACTTACCGCGGGTCCACACGCGGCAGGCAGGCTCCCCCGTCGACTCCGCGTACTCCTCTCGCGGAGCAGGATTACTGGCGTCGACGGCGAGCACTTCCAGGATCGATTTATCGCGTCTAGACAAGACGCGATAAATTGATCCCAGAAGATCGATTGCTTACCAACGAACCCGGAGGTAAGTATAGACGTACCCTTAGTAGTAAGTATTTACAGGGTCAGAGCCCCAAGGCGTACCAGTGTCAAGGCTATGCAGAATTACATTTGGTATACTTAAAAGTGTATTAAAATACAAAGAATTACACACATACAATTTTTAAAAAACAGTCCCAAGATACTAAAGAGAGTGGGCCCTTCAGCAGTGTCTACAGATAGATAACATGTATTTCAATGTACATTTCTATAAAGCAGGTCATTAAAGATGTATCACGAGTACACGGTATAGAGTGGCTTGAGACACACCAATACACAATCACGGTGACATGGGTTATCACCATAGCAGCAATGTAGTTGAGCTGGGGCAGAATCTCCTCTTCTGGCACCCAGGGATGGAGGGATTAGTATGGGGTGGGCTGGGGAAGGTTGAGCTGGGCGAAGTGGGTCCCCCCCCCGGGGGGCGGGGGGGGCGGGGGTGGGGGGGGGGGGGGCCCCCCCCCCCGGGGGGGGGGGCTGGTGTGTCGCTGCGTGAAGGGTTCTCGGGCACCGTTCCTCTCCGCTGCTGCCTGGGGCGGGGGGTGTTGAACGGGAACCGCTACCCGCCGCGATGGGTACCCGCTCCAGGCCCCGCGGAGTCTCCGGCTCTCACCTGCCCGCGGGACGGGGCTGTTCCCGCCGGGACTCCGGCTGGGGCTCCCCCGGCTCCTCCTCACACCCCGCCAGCCACCCCCATGGCCGCCTCCGCCCCGCTACTGCCCGCCCGCCGGCTCCATGCGCCGCCCCCGCTGCCGCCTGCGCTGCCGAGAGGCGCCGGCCGGGAGCATCCCGCGGGGGGCGGGGGAAGCGGGAGCAGCCGCAGCAGGGCCACCGCCCCTACCGCTTCCGGGGCCACTCCCTGGTAACGGGCGACGCGGCCACCCCGCCGGGGGATACTTCCGGGGAAGGGGCGGCGGCTACGAGAGACCCCATAACACAGATCCAGCTACCCCCAATCACTGAGACCCCAGAGACCCCCTAGGCTCTGCCCCACAGCCATCCCCAACCAGAGATCGCCAAACCCACACGGCCACCCCCAAATTACTGAGACCCCAGAGATCGCTGCCCCCCACAACCATCCCTGAACCACTGAGA